TTTTTACGATTGCGTGATATTTTTGAAAAAAATTATTACAGTAGTAGTCGTAAGTAGTAACTATTAGAATTATTATACTGGTATATAATTAATATATAATCATTTTTTTCGAAGACTCGACTGTCTTCTGAATGTTTTGAATAATATAAGCAAATAATATTGATTTCTCGACTTTACAAGGTCAGTACTCGGTTCAAAGAAGTGTATGCATATCAGTGCCTGTCAAATACTCGAACACTTTGTTACTATTTGAACAATGTCTTCAAAACCAATATTGTTAAAGGTTTTATTTTTCATTAATTTGTTTATTACATAGTAGTTTTGTGAYTTTCTAATTTCAGGAGAAACCATTTGTTGATATGGAAGGCATTAATATACAAATTGAACCATGCAAGACTTATTTTAGTGACGGATGTGTAGAAACCGCAGGAACTGATGAAACGGATTTACTGAGAGGAGAATCAAAACCTAACTCAAATGAATCTGTTAGTATTATAGTGTTACTAGTGTTAATATRAATATATGAATGATTTTAAACTTTGAATMTATAGACTAATAATTGGCCATCATGGTTATTAAAAAAATCAGCAGTAATTGGTTAYGGTGCATTGAATACAGTTGATTACCTTGGTGAATCTTTGGCTAATTTTTTTGGAATCACTACACCTAAATATCAGTTTGAAATAAATTACCACAACAACATAATGCAAGAAGTGAGTGTTATTCATTTATAAATGATTCAACATTATTACTATATTATTTATTTAWAATTATTTCTAAACCCCTTACCTATTTACATTATCAGTCATGMTATACTCTGTTTTATACTTTAATCTAWGAATGACCTCARACAATGGCTGATTTTTAAGCTAACTAAATTACATTTAAAAGTAACATCATTATTCAAATGTTATKATCATAAATCAAAACTTAATTCATTGTTTGAGCTGGCTGATAACATATTTTAAGTTATTATATGCACAATAACATAGAATCTATACATGATGGAAAAATCMAACTTATTGTATATAAATCTAAATTTTATAAATTAATTCTGAATATCTAATCAATTTCTCACTATTGAAGATGATTATTKCTTACAAAAACGGTACCTATGTAACTAAAAATTAGAATATATAATTGGTTCTCAAATAAAGTRTTGAAATGGAAATAGTAATTTGATTAATTATAACTCAACTCAAACATTAAAATTACGAGTTAGTATGTATTAAATAATACAATTTACYGGGTAATTAATATATAGGCTTACTCTATATCATAGGTGGAAATGTGGGGGGGGCTTAACTCCCCTATATTGTAATAGCCCCTCCAAAATGTTGTCAGTTTTCATRTGAAATGTGATTTTATATGAATATAGATTTATTTAGTTAATTTAGCCCCCCCCCCAGAAATTTCTATAGATTTCCGCCTATGCTCAATATCCTTCTGTAAGGCGTAACCTTATCCAAATATTAGTTTAACTRATTAGATTAGAGAAGATTGATTGTYCTAAGATAAATTAATACACTAAATAGTAATTGCTAATATTTTTATGTATACATAGAGTTATTTATTAAAGCAATAATAATTCTTGATTGCATTTAAATTCATATTTTTTTTATTTTGATATATTATTAAATTAAGTTTAAAATTTATTAAATAAATATATTTTTTTAGATGAATGCGGAAAAAATTGCCAATGAAGAAAATATGAAAGGATGGACACAACAGCCTCCAAAATGTATTGTAACAGCAGAACCGTGTTAAATTTACATTTTCCATTACTTATTTGATTTAAAAAAAATACTAATAATTTATTCAATTAAAAATRCATGGTATGATAATATTTGGAAAGTATGTAAATTGTAAAGTTTTCTTTACTCTACATTTTAATATTTATGTATTTTCTGGATCCCTCCAAGAATAGGCACTGAATGGTATAAAATTATTATTTTATTTTTATTATTTATATAAATAAGCCTTGGTGTCTATGGCAATATGTTAAATGTATTAAAATCCACCTAAGCTAACTTTTCTCGTATAATTAAATAATTGTCAATTCATCAATAAATATTTTTGACAAGCAAATCAAAACTCAAAATATTTATTCTTACCACAGAATTTGAAAAATATAAAAGCTCAACAAATATTAATATTGAAAACTTTTAAAATTATTTTTTTAGTAATTTATTATATTTTAATGAATTATTATATTTATATATTATATTTACAAAAATTGATTACCACTTACTTTATGATAATGTTCTAATAATTGTTAACTTTTTCAAATTTTATTTAAGAATACAATTCTTTGAATTATKATACTATTACTTTATTATTAAAAATTATAAGTATTGTTATTAATTACAAAATCTCAGAAGTTAATGTAGAAACCTAAATAAATAATTTTATTTTTTATCAGATGACATTTTATGATCATTTTTTATAATTTCATGTTAGTCTTAAACAAATTTGTACTGCTTAATTCATGACTCGTTTATAATAATTGATACATATTACATTTTAATTATCTCAAAATTTCAAATTAAAAGATTTCAAATAATAATAGATCCATACAGCTATTTTTTTAATAGTTATTATTAAGATTTTTAAATCCTTTACATGCCCTTTATTAATTCATATTTGACTTTTGCATTTATTTAAATCRTTAACTTCTGAGCCTTATTGTTTACCATTTAAACTATTAACTATATTTTATAAATTAATCTAAGGATATTTTTTCTATAAAATTAAATAAATTTATCTTTGTAAAATATACATAAATAAATACTCTAGTTTTTTTATTTTATGTAACATTGTATGCATTTTTATTATAAATTAGTAAAAAAAATTACTCTATTATACAAGAGATTAATTCTGAGTTATGRCTATTTTTAATAGTAAAAATTAGTTTTATAGAATGAAAAAACACTATATTCATCATCATTATTTTGTTACCAAAAAGATGTGTCAGTATTGAATTATTTATAAATGGGTTAAGAATTCTTTAAAATATTTTAGTTTTAAGCTTCAATCCACTTTTTCTCAAAACTAAATTTTCAGTTTGACATTCTTATTTTATAGGTGTGAATTATTGTGTTAATCATAGTTTTTATTTATTAGGTATTTCAAAAAATGTATWTTAAATCACTGTTACTTATAGCCATGACATAATTTTTTCATAAATTAAACTTTCTGACTTCTTTTTTGTTTTAAATAAAGCCAAGTCAGAAATATACTTAGAATATAGGGCTTTTGAACTACTTTTGAATTATGTTTTAACTAGAGGACTTGCTTTCTGCACTAGCTGAAGATAATGGAATATTAAAATATTATCCAAAGAGTTTGAAAAATCACCATTAATTGTTTTATAAAATGAAGTAGTTCTATAACAATTAGCAATTTTTCAAATGTTCAACAAATCAAATTGATCATGAGCACAAATGTCTGTAACACTAAAAATAATAGTATCTAGATCCTCTTTTAGATACTGTAATAAGCCATTGCCTATTACATTTTGAATTAAAAATTTTAGTTGAATTAATACAACACACTCTTAGAACTATGATCTGTCCAGTGAGAGAACGAACCGATTCTAGACATCTTCTAGTGTTACTATGCTATTGAAACTATTTTCCCTATCGCAGGGTGTCGTGTGGGATGCACAGAAAAACCAATTTTGTTTGGTCCTTGGCGCCTCGCTGAACAGAGTATTTATGMCTTATGTGTTAGACTAAAATTAATTGTAAATTATAATAGACTGATAGAAACAACATAAATAACTCAATATAAATAATATATATTTATTAACAAGTCATTAACACCTACTTATCACAAATATTACAAATATGTTCTTTAAAGACWGTATATAAAAAAAAATTATCAATAGTTCAAATAATTTATAAATAAAACTAATAAAATTAATAAACTTTTTTCCTAACAAAAATAAATATCAATATAAGTTAAAAATTGAAAAAKTATTTTATTTTTTTATAATGATATAATATGCGTTAATTTGGTCATAACTCATAGCTGTAATACTTCATCAGTTGCACTTTAAATTAATAGATTTAATAATTAGTCCTTACTCCTTAAAGATAAACAAGTGAAGAATATGAAAATGATAAACAATGCACTTTATTTATAGATTGTTTAAAAGTTATGAGAATAAGGATTTTTTATAATTGCAAAAACTTAATATAAATGAAACATTATGTAAAATAAAATAACAATATTAAAAATTCTTACACATCTAGTTAAATTAAACAGAAAACAAATAAATGATAACATATTTCAAGAAAGTTAAGAAAAATGAACTGTAAATATTAATATTAACTGTAACATTAATATGGCATTTAAAGACAGCCATTAAGTAAAAAATATTGCATTTTCCAACACGCAAAACAGAATTTGTAACAATTAGGTTTTCTTCCACTTGAATAGATTTTTTTTGCTACACATATTTACATATTAATTAATGAGCAATTTTAGTTGGGTTTTATTAAAGCAATACATTCATAAAATTGTTATTATTTGTATGATGTAATATGTAATGAACTAGTGAATATTGTTTTTGATGTAATCTATTGTTAAAGCAAGTTATACACAATTGATCAGCTTTCATCACGTTCAATGAAATCCATTATTTGTTTACTTATTACATCAGTAGCTTTTTGTGATTGTGGTATTAAGAACCTATATACCATCAAATTAATAAAATATAATATACAACATTGTCTAATTTCTGAATAGAATATGAGTAATAGTAGTAATATTTAAGTTAAAATTTCATCAACTGTTCTAAATAGATGACAAATAGTTAACAAAAAWATCTAAAAGTTAACTAAATAATAGTTTWAAAAAAAAATAATTCTACATTTTAGATTTTTTATTTACTAAACCAATGAATAATGAGAATTATATTATAAAAWACAATTTAGTTTAAAGTGGTCCAATTTACACCAAAACACTAGAACCAAACAAAAATGATTGGTACTCATATCCGATCATTAAAATCCAACAAAATGAAAATTGTTGAAGATTTCTACCAACAAATTTACAAACAATTAAGTATAGTTAATATAGATCATGTCTCAAAAGTATGCAACAACTTTTAGCAGTAAAAATAAGTTTGGTAATTACTGCTTTAAAGGTATAGATATTTTTTAAATCCAACATTTTTGTTTTGATCTTTAAYGTAATTAAAAAAAATTGTAACTTGGTATCTACACTAGATACTTGAAATACAGGGATAATGAATATATGAATGTTATATTTGATGTAACTAATATAACTTTTAGATGTTCTTCAATTTAATTTTTTTTATTAGTTGAATTTGAAGTTAAATAAATTTATTTATCCTTATTAGGTGGGAGTAGGAACTTGATTTAGATATGTAGGTTAAATTTGTACGAGATATAGATAACAGACCTKGTATGAGATGTTCTTAACAAATAGAAAATAATTGTTTTACAAAATGCCATTAATCATTGTACAACATACACTATAAAAAAATGAATCTTTAAAATATTAAAATATGTATATAAAGTATTAAATAAATTATTACTACTATTACTCTATTTTTTTTCATATTGTACATATAAAAACTCAATACACAAAATATTAATAATAACCTGTCTATATCCTTTTCTGCTCCAGAATATTCAAAAATAATCAAATCCGGTCGTTTTTTGCGACATTTAATATTCAAAATAGTTCCCAATGAATGATTTACCAATGAACAAATTTTACTAGGATCTTTTGATTCTACTTCGACTATTATAAGGTTATTTTTTGTCAACACCAATTTTCTAATGATAAAAAATATAAAAGCATCATATCAAACTCTAGTTAAATTCAACAAAGAATCGCTACACAGTATAACAAATAATAATTATTATATTACCCTGGAATTAATGTTCCATCATTTCTGATATGCTGGCAATCAAATGATGCAATTACATTGGATTTATTTAATAGCATTGACAAATTATTATTATGAGCTCCATCATACAATTCATCTATTTAAAATTTAAACTAGGTTAATTAATAATAAAATTGTAATTGCATTTTTAAATACCTTCTGATTCTTGATTATTATCATCTTCGTCTATAGCAAAAACTGGCGCCATATTTCTGTATCTTTTGCTACCTCCATTTGTTTTTTCATTCTTTGTACTATTGTTATTACTTGATAAAAAATCCATTAATTTACCTTTGACTTCAAATGATTTTGATCTCATTGCCACACTAAGATTTACATATTTAATCATATATTTTTATATGTACATTAATATTTTGAATAATACTTACCCAAGCTTAGAAAACAATTCATTAGTTGAATTTGTATGAGTTAATCGTTCTTTATTTTTATGTGGACTACATAGACACTGTGAACATCTATTACGATCATGATCACTCAGGCCATCAATATTGTTTTTTTCAAAATAGTCATGAAGTGCTATTAGAATGGAAATGATGAGGGTTATTAATAAAATTAAATAATAATAATTKTTTGTATTAATACAACTAATTAATTTAGAAAAATACAAACCTTGATAGCCACCATTTAACATGGAAACATAGAGTGAATGTTTTTGTAGAAAAGCTGAAACAACCATATGAGTGTTTTGGTTAGCATCTAAACCACTACCACAACCTGAAAAACACCAATGTTCTCCTCCCCCTGAACGGCCCTCAACAAAGCTCTGCTTTTGACATGATAATAACCCTTCAACCGCAATCCAAAAAGAATCAGGATCTTCTAAAAGCTTTAAAAAGCAAAATACAAATTAAAGTTTAAACATTATTTTTAAAATTAAATCTTATACCTTATATGAAAATCTTACAGCAAAAACAGACAAGTCCATGTTTTATGGAATAATGCCTATAAGTGAGTGCAACAACTAGATTTAAGTAGTTTTTATAKTAAATACTTAGTTGATTTGCTATTTTTGATGCAAGAATGATCATATTTTTGTATAGTAAATAAATATATTATATAGAATGCATTTATTCTACAGCTTGATTATTTCAAAATATAGTGTCTAGAAAATCGATCCTCTGATCAAATTGGGACAGGGAAAACTGTAATATGTTCATACATACATAATAATATTATATGATATATTGATGTTTATTATTCATTATTATTAATAYTGAATTACTATACTATTAATTTCTTTTATAAAACTATATGTCTTCATGATGAATACATGTAAAAGTGCTAAAATGCTTATTGTTATTCGGCTACATAAATAGTATTTTGGATAATAGTGRGTTCTACTGTAATACAAATAATTTTGAAAAAAAATATATAATTGTGAAGAGGAGACAAAATTAGTCAATGTTGAGTGAAGTTCATTACATATTATATGAATTGTATAATATAGAACATAGATAAATCAATGGTGTCCAAACGTGTCCAGTATCTTTCATAGGATTCAAAATTGTAAGTAAAATTTTCAAATCATTTAGGTGTACTAGTCTGGCTTTTGCAGCAAGCTTTTCATATAGTAAATAAAAACATTAATAACAGCGCATACTAAAGTACTATCCAATGGAAAGGCAATAGGCAAATGTCCAGCATTGTATTGTTCAGCGGGTCGGCAATCCATAACGAAAAATTTCAAGCTGTTTGTCACTGTTTTGTTTGTATGAGATACTAATTCAGTTACACTGATTGGAAGGCATAACATTTGTGAAATTCCTTTATCTTGCAGCTTTGGGTCAAAAATATAACCAGCAACATCCTAAAAATCATCCCAAATATTAAACATTACGTATCACAAATATTTAATTACATACTTTTATAAAAGATGAAGGTGTTTGTTTATCATAATATTCTGCCAAAGACCAAAAATCACTTATATCATCTATAGCCAATTGCGATGGCAAATTCCCAAGAATTTCAATCAGTTGTGTTTTGGGTTGATGTTTTAATGAAAATATATGATCCCTGATAAAATATTTAAAACTGTAGACTTAGCAAATATTTGATATAAAAATATTTACCTTGCATTAATGATGAATACTAAAGCCAAGAAAAATATAAAAAACCTGTCCTTTTTTGCTAAGTATAAATCCCAAATAGTTAAAATTACTTCTAAAGAACATGTTTCCGAAAATAAAGTCTGTATCTAAATAACAAAAAAAAATTAAAATTTGTAGTTATTGAGCACTATTATATTATTCTGGTAGATTAACAGATACCCATGAGTCACTATAAAGTTCTGGTCCCAATTTCAAAGAATCTAGTAAGTTACACAATTCTGGATCATGATATAATAATAATATCCTTATTAAATGGTAACAGTCTTGATGTTTAGCTAAGTACTCTTCATCAATCGCACGGAACATGGTATAAGTATCAATTCGTGGTAGYTTTAATGATATAATTGGCCGAATTATTGATGACCATCTCTTACTTATATCATATGTATCTGTATTATATATTTTACACATTGTTAGCAATATAGCTTCAGTGTCTGACAAACAGTTTAATTTTTCATCTTCATCTTCAATTTCTAAAGAAGCTAAATATATTTAAGAAAAAATATATTAAAATATATTTAATGCTTCCGTAACATTAGTTTATTCACAAACCAATTAACATTTGACAGTCAACCTCTAACTGTTCTATGTTTTTTATAATTGGTCTCTCATCTAACAAAGTTTGAATAGTATCATCATCACGAGTCAGTAACTGACGCCACATCTGACCCCTACATTCATTAGCAATTACAGTAAAATGCTCTGATTCGTCACTAAGTGGGGATTCATCTTTTTCACAAAGTGCTTTTTCTAACGCTTTCATCCTACATATAGATAAATCATCATTATCATATTATTAGCTAATATAACATTATGAATCTTGTGAATACATACCATCCTTCGTCTTCTTCTTCAGACATCTTAAATCCTATTTATCTAGACTAGCAAATAATGTATTGAATAAATTTGAGAAGAAAACATAGCTGTTATATTGTTAACTTACAGTACTTTAATAATTAATGATCAAATACCTTCATATAACAAATATACTTCAGCACTAGARATTTATCATAAAATCAAGTTAAGCATGATCTGAAAACATTTAAAAGTAAAAAAACAATTATAATAGAACTAATAGAAGTGCGTTTTTCTGAAATGTAATATTATTTATTACAGTACAACAGTTAAATAATGTTATCTAATATGTAT